TACACACACACACACACACACACACACACACACACACACACACACACACACACACACAAACAGAGTGAGTGACCATCACACAAGGAATGACAGTGGATAAGTACACTGGTAAAATGGGAAAAAAATAATGAATGAAAAGTATTTTTATCAAGGACAAAGATCACAAGATCACGGAAACAAAGTTCTCCAGCCACCATGCTAATAAACCAGCGAGCAGTAGGATTGTCTAGCCTTTAGACTTGAGCCCACACCAAAATAGCGTCAGCAGGGTGGGGTGGTTTCCGCTTAATTTAGGAATTAAAAAGGCGTAAAATAAGGGGAAATTAGCAGTCATTTTATAGCCAGGTGAGTGGCATAAACAAGCGAGAAGACAGGATCTCCACTCGCACACCGGATAGAGAGAGCCACGACTTCTGACCTGGCGAATATGTCCACTCGCACACCGGACACTGAGCGCCTTGTCCTCTCACCTGGACATCTCATGATGTATAGCGAATTAGTTAGGACACATAATTTTGTTTCCTTCCCTACACTTCCTGTCTCCAGTAAATGTATTTTTCATTCTTTCTTGAAAAGCAAATTGGCTCTTCATGGGACACATTTTCTAGTAAATTGTGGATACAATTTTTTAATGGATATCGTATCTATCTTGAAGTTTAAGTGTTTGTTTATAGACCTATGTCCTTTAGGTGCATAGCGTTTTCCTTCTCATCATTATTATGTCTATACCGATTGCCGAGTAGGCCTATTTGCAACAGGAAAAACTGAAAATAAAAGGGCAAAGTATATTTTCTAAGGATACACAATGCCTCACCCGACGGTATATAGCGTTACCTTTTATCGGTAAATCTACAACTACAGAGCATCGTATTGTCGTGGATAAAACGAAATACGAATGCAATAGTTGCAAGCATCGGGACACACGAAACAACATATTGTCTGGTCGTCAAAGCAGACATATACTCGTATTATTTGTACAAAGCCCTAAGTCTATGGCTGTTTTCGGCTCTGTGGTGTCTTGGGTTGTATCATAAGTTGCTTCGTACTTTTCGAAAACGCAATGGACTACGGCACAGGTGATCCTTGTTTGAATCCCATTTCGTTATACTGCATTATTTGGAATTCTTGTCTTTTCTTTTGTCCATCATTTTCTCTTCTTTTTTTTTTCTTTTTTTTTAAGGTGCGGTGGCGGGGGTGGGATACATTGTCATTTCAAAGTGCTTTAAAGGGCTGCTGAAAAGTCAACTTGCGTTTTCAGTGCAATATAAAGTTTTACTAGGTCCAAATGAAACCTTTTCGTAATTTTCTAGAAATGTATTGAATATCTTTCGGTTTTAGTTAATATGTCTGGGACTTTGGTGCTCACTCTATATACAACATATCTTATTGTTCCTGAAATACAAGGTGAGAAATTAAGTTCCTTACATAATCAACTTTTCTTGGGTGGTTATTTTTATCGTGTTAATTTGTTCACGTGCCATTGAGAAACATTTCTATTTCCAGTAGCAGATAAAGAAAAAAGTATCGTTAAAAAGAAATATAATAAAATGTTAAACAGTAAAGAAATGAAAATGTATGATTTGACCTGGGATCTGACTTGAGGGACAAAAGGTACGCGTCTGTATAGCCGACCCAGCCACCTGCAAGGGACAATGACATGAATAAGTGACCCAAAGAATGTGGTCAAGTCTTGTCTGTGGGTGGTAGAGAGTCCTCGCAAAATCGCATTGTCATAGGAGAGTCAGGAGAACATTATATTGGATATAAAGATTGCGTGGCTTACTTAGATACAAAAGAGATGGGAGAAAAGGATGGAAGGGGTGGGGGGTGCAAGATAGATAGATACTAAGAAAGAGATAGAGAAAGAGAGAGGGGGGGCG